TCATTTCCAAACAATCTCAGGCTACCTAATTTACCCCTTATACAGCCATTTTAACTCTTATTTTTAATCCCTTATTTTCCTCCTACAGCGACGAGCGCGTTAAAGATAAAATCCTGCGAATTTTCAAGATCTGGGAACAGCGTGAGATCTACAACGAGGAGTACCTTAGCGACTTGAGCGGCCTGCTCAACATAGCGCCGCCCAAAAAGTCCCATGTCGATGTCAGTGACGAGTTCCAGAACGCCACTCTGATAGCCAAGGTGAGGGAGTGCGTCGAACTGGCCGAGATCACCGACAAAAGCATGCAGAAGCTGCCCAAGCCGCCAACCTTCGAGATCGAGGTCATCAAACAGCAACTAAAGGACAAAAGCCACTCCGGGGACATTGAGAAGGAGGTGGAGCGGTGTGTGGCCTTCATCAACGCCTACAACAAGAACCTGCAGAACGAGATTAAGAGTCGGAAGGCCGTTCTAGCCAGCATTGAAGCGGCCAAAAAGTTTTACGAGCACCAGGGCAAAGAAGTAAAAGTGGTGGCCAGCGTAAGTATCAAATTTATTAATCAATATAAGAATATCTTATAAAATGACTACTTTTACAGGCCTATAAAAGTTTTGGCACGCGCATTAAAATAGTGAAAAGAAAGCTGGACGAGACCATACCCAACCTGTCCAGCCCCATACCCTCGCCGGACGTAAATGCTCCCTCTCCCGAGCGCGATGCAGATCTCCAGTTGCCCGATGAAAATAACGTGCCACTGGTACTAATAACTATAATTAATACATTTCCCTTACATTTATCATCTATTTTTTGTATCAGAACCTATTTGGCGGTAGTCTGAATGGCTTCACAAGTTATCTGGACGGTGGCAAACTACCCTTTGATATCAACGACTTCAAGCGGGACTCGAAGGATCGGGGAAGTGCCATCGAAGTGATCGGTTCGAGACCGGATGACGAGACCTATATACCGAGTGCCAATTTCTACAAGCCCGAGCCCATTTCCAGTTCCGACAGCAGCTCCATACCGGGTCTTGGCGGTCCCGCTGAATATACTCCCAATCCGCCCCTGTTTGGTTCTAGCAGCCAAGAGCAATATGTCCCGCCACCAGCATCACATCTTTACGGTGGCAATGGAATCGTAGGAGGCAGTGGGGGTCAGGAGAATCAGTACACGCCGGCGCCAATGCCACCGCCGCCCTTGCCACCGTCCCTTGGAACCTCCAGTGGATCAGCGGATGATTTTAACAGCACCTGGAACATGAGCATGTCCTGGACGCCGCTGGACTCTAGCTTAAATAGCAGTGGAGCAAGCTCCTCTTCGTACGCGAATCAATCAACTCCCCATTCGCCGCCGCACTTTGAAAGAAAGGGCAGCTCCGCTGTTGCCCCTATCGAATATAACGAACATCTGCATAGCAATTCCGCAACGCTGGGCGCCGAGGATGTTGACCATCGCACCCTGCAGCTCCCGCCGGCATTTGATTTTGGGGCAAAGTTGGGTTTGAGCAAGGACAAGTCCAGGCAGTTGGTAGACATTGATCACAGGAATTTAATATCGCTTACTGGCTCTCCGGGCGGAGCGGAGAAGGTAAATGATTTCACAACCAGCGTATCTAATTTGTTCGGCTTAGTCTGGTATTTTATTAACATTCCATGTTCCCCGTTTCAGGACTTTACTGGCGGTGATGTTGACTACCGCATTGTCCCAAATCCCAATGATGAAGGCATCATGGCTCCCCCTGGGAACAACTATGCTAAAAGCAAGACCAGCTCTCCTCTTAAATCTAATGCCAGTACGTGCGAGTATAAGTATATTGTTTTCCAACCCCCAATCACATATGTAATCCCTCAAATAGGCTCCTCGTCTGAATCGGATCGTGTGGATGGCGCTGCACGCTATGATCCCGCTGATATGGTAATTGATATGGACATGTCTGATGATGACTTAGATGAGTCACTTAGAGGTAATCATCTATTTAACTTGCTAAGTCTGTAAAATAATTACCTCATTTTACCTTGTAGAACCCAAGGAAGATAATGGAGAGGCTGATCCCGAGGCCAATGGCGCCCTGACGCCTTCACGACCTGTTTTGCTGGAAACTCCATCGGAGTTTATCAATCCGTGGGAGACGAACAACAGTTTTATGGGCCCACCTTTGACCGAAGACGAGGATCAACAGCAACAACATGAACAGCAGCAACAAGAACTGCAGCAACATCATCAGCATCAGCAGCACCAGCACCAACAGCAGCAGCCTTGGAACCAAATGAATCCCATGCAAATGGGAGGAGGTGCAGCACCGCCGCCCCCACGGCCCCCTTATGGACCACCCTTCCCGCCCTTCCAGCGTTTTCCTGGTCCACCGATGAACGGTCCCGATGGCATGCAGCGCGGGCGTGGCAGAGGTCGGGGTTGGAACGGACCCGGACCAGGTCCGTTTAGACCGCCTTATCAGCGGATGCCCGGTCCTGGGTTCGATGGACCAGGGCCTGGACCGCGCCCATTCTTTCCCAGAGGAGGAGGACCCGGCGGTCCAATGCGTGGACGCGGGCGCATGCGTGGTAAAGCTTGGATGATGTAATTACGTATTTTATAGATCTACAAAAAGAGAGAACACCTAGTTTTAGACTTCACCTATCTCACTTTGATTTAACTTAACAAAAAAAGTGTATTGTATAGAACAGATAACACATTAACTCCAAACAGTTGTCTTGGTTTCCCTTTGGGCGGTGGGCAGATGACGTTGACAGAAATTATTGTACATTGCGATGTATAATTTGGCGTGCCCATGTTTGTTACTATAAGCCGAGAATTTCAAAATTATTTCAATGTAAAATTAATTAAAACTTAAATTAATTAAGTAATTCACTTTTACTTTTGACTTATTTCTGCGTTAGGATACCAAATCTTTTTTGAAAGATTTCTTGACGTAAGGAAACACAAGTTATTAACGCAACTTAAATAAAATTGACGACGGCCTGTATTGGGTTTTTTTAGGTATAATATTAAATTTTGGCAGTCCATTAACATTTACCGTTCTTAAATCATCCAACTTTATTTAGCCAACCTCTTTAGGCTTCTTCCAGGGGGAATCTAAGACAAACGCTTGCAAAGACTTTCAATTTACACTTACATCGTATCTTATGTTAGTGTGTTGACTTAGATTAATGTTATGTTCTCTATTAATTAGTTACTACGCCTTCGCTTCTAGTTTATAGTGCTAATCATAAATATTAATTATTGTAAATAGTTTTAAAATTAGTCCAAAAGTTTATTGTTAACGTGATTCAAAAAGTTCTATGCTCTTCACTAATTGTCAATGATAATTATCTTTAACAAATATATAAAAAAAAAATTAATGTATTACTTAAATATGTGGTGATGACAATGATCAACAACAAAAATTAAATTTACTTTGGCAAGCCAAAGTTTATATGCCCTTGCAGTGAACTCGGTCAAATCCTTATAATGGAACCCATAGGTTGTTGTTGCTTGATCCGATTTTTAAATTATTCATGAATGGTTTTAAAATCGATCATTTTTACACTAAGTACATAAATAAAGTGCAACAACCCAGACGGCCACTTAATCAGACATTTGCATATAATACTTCAAATTCTTAACCATTTTATTTTTTAATTTTTTTTCCATTTTGGTCCAGGGATCTAGGAGATATTCTTATCGGCGACTTGAATTAATTTTTGTGAGTAAGTTGCGTAACAAGCTGACTCACATACCACTTGCCCATTACCAAAAACCGGGAATTTCAACTCCTTGTTGCAAGCGTCTGACCAAAATTATAATATCCTGAGCAAGGGCATACAATATTCTCGTTGGTAAAGCTTTCTTCTATTTTTTTATTACATCACTTTAACTCTTCGTTGCGTCTATAATCACTGACTTTAAAATATGTTTCATGCTTTTTTGACAGATCGTTGAGATTTTGTTAACAAATAGGATAGTGTCTCTATTTTTAATTGAATCCTCAATAGTTATGAGATAAGTTCAATTCATTACTTTTAAGCCTAGACTTAGTGAAGAGCAATATTCTGAGATTTACTTTCGAATCTGGCAATATAACCTAGTTACAATAAGCTAAGCAATACTCTGTATTTAGTTATATAAATACAAACATAATGTGATATTTGAAATTTAAAACGTAATGTACGAGACTTAGTCTTTGATTTACTGGAACACTGTCTTCCTTTTGGGATCCTGGGTACACCCACAGTTCCCATAGCATTTACAAATGACTATGTTTAAATCAATTTTCGTCTACCGTTCGAAGGATCTAAGACAGCGACTGTGTTTATCCGTAGTGTTTACCTGTTGACGTTTGCCGCATTTAATCACTTCTGTTTTGGAGTTCCCTCACTTTGTGTCGGAAGTCGGAACTCATTAATTCTCCGTTGGTAACTGATGTTTTGACCTTTACTTATGGTTCGTGGGTGTGGCACACTCCCTACTTAGACATGCCGCTCTCATCTCTCAAGGATAACAAGGATACCCTTTTCGGGTTAAGTTGAAAGTGTGGCGAATGTAAACAAATGTTAAAAAGAAATGTATTTTGATATATAGTTTTTATCAAGGATGTATTTATTCTCTCAGACCATTATTTAAATTACATTTAATGTGTATTTTATACGTATCAAATGTATACGATTTTGATTAAGTATTTAGATTGTTACATTCTTTATTAATTATATTTATTATACATATTTTATTTAATTTTAATTGGTTTACACACAGGGTTTTACCTCAACATGTAAAATGTAGTTTATATTGAATTGTTGAACTTATGTATCAGAAAACAGCATATTCAATTATTTTTAAACAGCAGCTTCTTAAAAAATGATATATCAGCATCTCTTGAATTTAATACATTTTTTGAAATATTTTGGAGCTTGAGAAACATACAAAAATATATTTGATATAGCTTTCCATGACTTACATTCCATAAAATACCAATTAAAAAATCTATAGGTTATATTGCTTATATTTTTATTCGGCATTTATTGCTTACAATTATTTACAACTATGATAATAAACTATAAACTAACAGCCTTTATAAGTATTCCACTAGGTCGAAGGTGTTGCTGCAACACAGCCCGCAATGGGACTTCCGTTTGAAGGAAGGATGAAGGATCGTCCGATTGGCTAGTAGTCCCTGGAGAGCAACGTGACCAGATCGCCGATGTATGCCTGCGCCATTTGCAGAGTTTCGTATTTGGAGAGTCGCCGGTCGTGACCCAGAGATGGAACCACATCCCTCAGCTTGTCGAAGGCGTCGTTCAGGCTGTTCATCCGCCTCCGTTCGCGGGCATTGGCCGCCAATCGCCGCTTTTTTAGGACCTCGCCACCGAATCCAACAGATGATGAACCAGTCGATGAGGCGGAGGATGTGGATGATGACATGGAGGTGGACAGCTTGTCGTAAGGTTTGCTTCTCTGCTGTTTGTTCCAGTATTTCGAACTCCTGCCTTGACTCTTGCCCAAGGGATTCGACTGATGCTGCTGCTGCTGCTCCTGGGCACTCAACATGTGCTCCAATTCCAGGACCGCCGGAGTATCGTAGAACATCTCCAAGGAGCAACTGTTGGTTCCGTCAGATTGACTATCGCTGGTGCTGAACTCCTGCTGGTACATTAGCTGCTCCAACTGCTGGAAGGTATCGTTGCCCAGGAACTCGGGAATCGCTGGGGACTCGTCGGGGAAATAGAACTGCTCCATTAGCTCGTTGTTGGTCAACATGTTTACGTTTGTAGGCTCAAAGGACAACTGAAGTGGCAAGTCGAAGTTTGGGCTTTATATAGCTGCCTGCTGAAGACCCGGCTCTTATGTGATTGGTTGAGTTCTGTTTGCCCTGCTACCTGATTCGCTGCCTCAAATTGATCCGATCCTCCCAGGTATCCGAATACCTACCTCTTGAGGATCAAGAACTCAGCCCGTGCCCTAAATTGGCTTGCGGTCAAAACGTTTAATTGTCCCTTACCAGCAACTCTCTCCCTCTTTTCCCAGGTATACAATGTATCAGCTACAGGTCGACTCCTTTTGTTTGACCTGTCATTTGGCTACCGTCTGTAATCATACCCTTTTGTTATATGCGCTGAAATTGACTTTTTATAGTCAAACAATGGTTGCCAAGGTCAAAATGCGAACAAACAAAGGCGTCTGGTCATGTGGGAATCATTTCCACAATTTTTGCATCCATCGAGGATCCCTTCGATCATCTTGGATAATCTTCGTTGCATGTCTGTGGTCTAGTAAGAGTTGGTTTGGCTGGGGTTTCCAGCTCTCGCAAATAACAAAGAAGAATATTTTTATGCGGTTTGCAACTTTCGATTTTAGGCGGTGGTACACACTTTATTGGGTCAAATTTAAATAGGTGTTTAAAGTGGCTTTCTCCAAACTCCCAGACATGCTTTACATATAAGGAGTTTAGGCTTATTTGCCAGGAATTAGTTGAAGATTCACATATAACTTGAAATTATTAAAACATAATGTCTGAATGAGCCTACATTTTTTAAGAGTATTGGTTAACTTTAACTACAATCTGATAAAGTCTTTATAAACTTTTGTTTTAACTGTAATAGTCTAAAAACATTTTAAGACCTTCATTCAAGTAGTAGTTTTTAAGATGCTAAGTATAAGAAAAAAATTAATAAACATCGGTTCTTAACTTATGGTGCTTTTCAGAGAAACGCGGTTGCCGTCTGCGTTTTTTGTCTGACCAAACGTGCAAAACAATTCCCAACTTCCATAACTCTCAAACTGTAGGTCCGATCATATAGAACTTTTCTGTAAAATCTAAACAGCTTAAACAAAATTTATAAAATGTAGAGAAACATATATATTTATTTTTCAAACCCTAAATAACCCCTTAATGAAACAAGATTGATACACTAGATGTCAGTCTAAACAGTAAAATGCACGTGCATACTTGCGTACAAAAACTGTTAGTTTTTTAAATTCTTAAACTAATTTCAAATATATAAGTTTTTACTACTAATATTAAAATAAATAAAACTATTTAAAGAGGCCTTTCGTTTCAAACCCGAAAAATAGTTCCCTTTAAATTCCTGCACAATCTGCTACTTCCACTCCTCATGTACATCCATTCGAAAGATCTACTTTCCACACCGTAATCATTTTGAATCCAGCCCAGCTCAAGCCCACTTTCAAGTGGCCGCATCGAAAGGTTAATTAACTTCACAGACTCGCAGCATCAGGAGGAAAATCAATTCGAAGAGTTCGCTGATTTTCTAAAGAAAACGTCCAAAACAATTGGAAAACACTGGCCAAGAAGCGCCGAGCATGGCTAAAGAGTACAAATGATGCCACTGCAAGATGGCCCAGATATTTCACACAAATTGTCAAGGAACAAAGTCCCTAGCCGACAAAGGATCCTGACTTTTGATCTTGACGGTGATGATGATAGCTGATGGATCGATCGACTTCGCTTAAAGTGCCACGCGACCGCAGCTTAGTTGAAATCCTGGCCCAGATCAGGCATTATGCTGCAATATTTTCGGGAGAAAGGTTCGCGGATAACCTAAAGATCGGCAACGCCTTCGAGACGAGGATTTGGGTTTTCCAATTAGCATTTTTCCGTGCTACCTGGTATTTCGAGAGGTTCTTTTTTCCTTGGGCCTGTCAAAATAGCAACAATAGGTAGTTGGTCGGTGGGCGGTTCTGGTTGAAAGTAGGCACTTCTCTCCATACCCGTTTCTTTTCATCTGACCAACAATAGGTCATCTGATGATAATCCTCGCCTGCGTCAGGCGGTTGCGTGTTACTGGGTTTTCCCTGCCAGATTAATCGTTTTCGTTTTGCGGATTAGTTGTTGGCGCTAAATTGCGAAAATGCGATTAGAAGTCAGAGTCTCGGAGTCCCGAGGAATTCCATGGGAATCTCTTCTTGCCCGACACTTGTTGAGCCCACTCTTTGTTATACAATGCCAAACAATGGATCGATCTATTCTGGTTTTTGTTCTCATAGTTGGTCAGAATAGAACTTGACTTGAGTCCCATTGTCCCGTCCATAATTACCATGTAATAATCAGGAATTATGAATTATTAAATGCAACGATTTGTTTGTTTCCAAGTAAATTTGTTGTGGTCTCCGAATTTTTGGGCACACACAGATGTGCAAAAAAGACTTCCAGACAGTATGTCTGCTTGGGACTTAAAAATAGGCTTAGTAGCGTGAAAACGGAAAATTTAAATGTATTTTAAAAATTTAAACTAGGAAATGAAACCCTAGCCATAATAAAATGATTCCCAAAAGGAAAAATTGGTCTATGTATAAATATTTAAATGTTTTCCTTAGATCCCTTTGGGCAAATTCCACAAAACTCATGCCATAACTTAGACACACTTCAAGGCCTTAACAAGGACAATTCCCCTACCTCAACTAACCCTTACTATAGACAAAATGTCCGTTAGGCTGCCAGGGATAGCGCCCCGAAAAAGTGTCAGGCAATTGCGTGCGTTTATGGGAATTTATTGACACTTGAGCGGTGATCAGGATAAAAACAGTAACAGAAACGGAGAGTGATCCTCGCAAGGACATGGTCAGGTAATCAGGGCGAAGCCAAAGTGCGACGCCGACCTTCCTTGATGGGTATCATAAATTGTCAACAACAGGATCAACTGTAGCCCGGGTGACATTTATGACTCTATTGACCGTCTGCCGTTGCTCCTGATTTTACCGATGCTCCTGCTGGGCAATCAGTGTCCTCTTTTACACGTGACCCATTCTTCTATCTTAATAAGCATTTAATGGTAGCGGTAAGCGATTCACAAACAAAGTTAAAGGCAGATAAGAGCACTCTGACCCAAGAGCGGAAAGTGTTAATGGATGCTTTGATAAAGAAACAATCAATAGGATATTGTTTCACATACTGGCGAAAATTCACGCTGGCCTCTTTGATAAGAAAAACTAATTGGTACCCACCATTTAATATTATTTTAAACTTGGGAGTAATATCTATATATACAAGACCCTCAATGAAAATCATTTTACGTTACATAAATACATATCGCTAAGTCTTTATTTAAGTTGTTGGAAAGAACCGATTACAATGAATGCTGCGATTAATAATTATATTATGCGGTTAGTCACAGTTTCATAAAGTTTACACTTACACAATATATTTGTCTAAAACAATCCATCAAAGTTCGGTCAAACTGTGAAGGGCTCTTTAAAAGTTCCTTACAAACTAAGTGCAATATGAAATCATCAATTTTACAACCGCAATCAATTGCAGTTATCTAATACTTTTTGCTTTGCGGTATGTTTAATCGTGAATCAGTAGTAAATATTTATGTTTAATCACAAAAAGGTTAATATCGGTGTGGGTTCGGTTGAGGATGAGTTTCAAATATGATATTATTTATCAGTTGCGAGATGGTCCGCGTGTGTTTTTTTTTATAAATGTATGCTTAAGTTTCTTGATATGAAATTTTGATTCCAAGTTTTACGATATTAATTGTTTTGCGGGTCTGTGCGAATAAATATTATTTTAGCTAAAACATGAAATTAAGATACTAGAGTTATTTAATAGGGTGAGACGATATGCAGGGTATGTTTTAAACAATTATAGCGACAAAGATATTACAAATTTATAGTTACACGACCAATCATTATTTATAATAAAATTAAAATCAGGTATTAAAACAATTATCTGCCAAAAAAATATGTTAGTATCATATTTTTGCAGCGAAATCGTCCCACCCTAGAGGATTATATTTCTTGATTATGCCTAAAGCTGTGAGCACACAGAAACGCACACATCGGTCGAATGACCCCTCGCAATTGGTTTTATCCGGTTGGAATCCGGACTTTATCACTCATGGAAATGCAAATATCCCAGTTGAAGTCTAGAGCGTTGTGGAGGTCACCGTGCTGACACCATGTACAAGAATTGTGGGCGGCAAATCGGCGGTCAGTTCGGTTAGTAGTTCCATGTAGCTGGCACTGCGTTGCGCGAAGTCCGGCGTGGAGAGCTTCGGCGGAGCGGCCAGATAGATGAACGACAATGCCGTCTGATCCGAACGTTCGCGTATGATTTGATTGGCCCGCTGCATGTAGAGCAGCGAGCGATTCAAGGTCTCTTCGCCCACCTCTTCATCATCTTCCAGCAACACATTATCCGCCTGAGCGGTAAATTGCTTAAGCGTGAGGGCATGTCGGCTGAAATCGGTGTCCCTACTCCATTCCTGGATCTCCACAATGTCGGCTGTAATGCGCAGCTCTTTGAGGGACTGCTCCAGCTTCATCTTTGAGAAAATCTCCATCTGAGGGGCCTGGGTGTCAAAGGTGCTGAGATGAAAAAAGGAGTTAACAATGTAAACATTATTTTATATCAATTCAACATACCCAACAGTTCGCTCGTTGTTGGCCTCGCACAGGAAAATTCTTACTCGCAGATGCTTCCATTTGGCCAGCATTATCACCGCCAATTGCATCATGAACAAAGAGACCATATCAAATGGATCTCCAGATGTTGGATTAAACATATTGATGGGCCACACATCAATGTACTTCACATGCTTGCTCCTACATTTTAAAATTAGCATTAAAATGGGCTTATAGCAATAAAATTAAACATCCCACTCACATGGATATAAAGTTTTTGTCCAATCTTTGGAAGTTTCTGCAAAGGCACAGATTTTTCTTCATCCTAAGGGTGTCGCAAAGGATTTGCACGTATTCCTGGATTTGGAATTGCTTAGGATCGCCATCTCGTCGAATGGGAAAGTTTTGGATTTCGCCATTGTTGAAGTCATCGGTTTTATAGGGGGAGGATCCGCTGCAATACGTTTATAGATTATTAGTCATATAGTTTTTGTAGATTTGATAATTTTATGTACTTTTTGAAGAAATCCCGAGGGGCTTCGTTGTCGTAGAATCCCAAAATAATTGTGTTCGGCTTCATTGCTCCAATTCCGGACAGGCGAATCAAATGCTGGACTCCCTCTCGAATGCTTCGGCTCAGGGTGACCTCCGTGAAGGCCTTGACTCTCATGTGATCAAGAAACGACCACCACTGCTGGTTCTCCTCTGCGTCTTCCACTCCCCTAAAGTCACCCAATTTCACATGACCAATGATGTACAGACCACTCTTCTTTAGGTCATTAACAAAATCTACTAAGGGACAACAGGAACGTGGCGATGAAACCAACAGCAGGATTTGCGGGCGCCAGAATTTAACGTGATCCTTACGGGGATCCAACATCAACAGGTATTTTCGCACCTGGTGGAACATCAAGGCCTGGGAAATCGAACCCCATTGAGCTGCCTGAGTGGCAGGCGAGAATAGGTGCAATGCAATCACAAGGATGAGACACAAAATAATGCAGGACGAGGCGTATATAGGGTTAATCACAAACATCATAATCAGGGTGCCCAGCAATCCAACCAGACAGGTGTGCCAGGTGAAGTACTTAAAGAGCGGTCTGAAGTTTGGAGCACCCGTGAGCTCGATCCCTAAGCACGCCACGTTGGTGGCCAAGTAGGAGAGCATGAAAAGCACCGAGTTGATCTGGGCAATGATGTTGAAGGATCCTATCAGCAGGATGCACTCCACGAGGCACCAGCTCACCGCAACCGCTGCAATGGGATTTCCCTTCCAAGTTCCATGAATCACAAAGTTTAGAAGACTTCCAAAAACTTGATCCTTCGACAAGGCCTCCAATATCCTGCTAGAACCAATCAGGTTGCTCAGACTGGTTGAAAAGGTAGCGGTCAAAATTCCAATTGCCGTAAATGGAGGCCACAGGTTCACCGGCATCAAAAACAGATAATTATTCTGCATGGTGAAGTACGGTGTTGTGCAGCTCATCAGGAAGGACAGGATAATGTAGGAGACGAATGTAAACGCGACTGCAGATAGTGTACCCCAGGGTATACTCTTCGACGGGTTCTTCAGCTCCCCGGACATATTCGCTCCGGCCATAATTCCTGTGACTCCCGAAAACAGCACACCAAAGGTAGTGGAGAAGTCAACTTGTTTTCCATTCGATGTGTAATCGGTGCCGTAGTGGGATCCGAGATTATCCCGCAGCGTGGTGGCATTGAGACCCGTATAGCCGAGAAATTGTGTTGTATTTGATAAAATATTGTCCCCGGGTACGCGTATCTGAAATCGGTAAATAATGGCCATACATAAAAGTGTGTATCGCAACCGTAAGCACTTTTAACTAAGAAATGTCAAAAAACATGTTATGAATGCATTTATGGATATTTTCATTTGAACCTACATAAGTAGTATGATATGATTGTACAGTTCAAATACACATGCATACTTGTTTAGTTTTTACTATATCATGCATTCGCCACGCTCTCTTCATGACTCAACTGTCTTATCAGTTTATTTTTACTTGCTTGGGTTTATATGTGTTAAGAATAGGGGATTTAGTCTAAAAAATTAATAAACTTGTTTCTTCTTCTTTTAAAGCGGGGTTTGCAAAACAAAGTGTGCGATAAATCTTAAATTTTATGAGAAATGTTAGGTCTTAAAACATTTGGAATTTACAAACATAACTCTGTGATAAATCTTGAATCTAAAGATTATTCATATAGAAAAATATATACAAAAAATTTAGCAAGGGCTAGCTGAACCAAAAAGTATAAAATAAATAAGAATGTTTTGCAACAAGCAAAAATTTCCTGTAATTATGAGACAACTATTTCGATTAAATCCCTTTTAAGTCAGTTATAAATGTTTGTAAGTCAGCATTGATAGCACCTCTGGCGTAAACTTTGTTTAGTGTTTCTGACCAACTCCAACCGAATATTTATCAACCTTGATAAGCCTTGGACAAATATTTAAAATAAACCCAAATTGAGCCCTAGATAGCCTAGATATCGATATCACATCTAAATTGATAAGCGCGACAGGGCTTTAAGTCCATGAGCAATAGGTACACAGTGAAAAAGAAAGCATTATTATAAGAGGTTTAAAATAAATATCTATAAATAAATAAATGTTTATAAAAGTGGAACATATAGTTGTGTCTAATCCTTATATGCACTTGTTGATAATAATTTATATTTAAGATTTGTGATAAATAACTATTCTTAATTATATAATTATCCATACGATTTTTTAAGTCTTAAGTGTTTTTTTCAGTGTACATCAAGGTATCTTACCGTATTGTTGGTGGCGCCCACAACCAGGAAACTGATGTACGTGGCGAACAGGCAAACGGTCACGGTCCCCAAAATAATCACTGACGTCTTGGCGAATAGAGCGGCTCCCACCAGGCAAACCAACAGCTGCAGGGTATTTATCATGCTGCTGGTAAGGAAGCGCCACCAATCTCCATCCGGTAAATGGGAGTCCCCGCTCACGAAATGCCCACGCGGTCCGAAGTTATCCATGATACCCTCAGTGCAACCGGATATGGCCATCGCAGATCCCACCACATTGGCAAAGAAAAAGAGGGTTCCGATCGAGCCACCAAATTCCAAGCCCAGCGTGCGACTGATCATAACTGGGGAAAAAAAGAAAATTAACAAAAAATATAAATAGACAATTTTCCTAAGGAAATTATTGTTTTTGGGACCTACTAATATAACCGCTTGCGTTACTTACAAATTATTTTATCGTTAGAAAAGTGTGAAAGAGAAACTTCAATTAGCATATGAATTATTTGGCAAGTCTTTAGGTTATGATTGGCACTTTTAAAGTACGCAATTAAAGCAAAATAAAATACAGCAAGTCAGATAAAATATTTTAAAATATACTTATTGAGCTTAGTGAACATTTAGTATACAATTTCATTGAAATGGAAGCATATAATGAAAAATTGCAATACAGTAATGGGGTTTTGAAGATTGAATTCAAAGTTATTTGTAATGTATTTTTAAAGAGATAATATTTTCCCTTTTTTTTCTGACTGTGTCTAGATGACCAGTGATACAACATTTTATAAACCTGGATGTAAGTCATGTATGCATAATGACAGACTCGCTTTACGAATCTTGAGGTTTGTTAATGCTTATCTGTAGCCTCGGATTATTCCTATATGAACATAATGGTTTTTTTAACCCTCTATTTCAAGGGAACTATTATTAGATACTGCATGAATGTAATGATATATTTATGAGTAAATTTAATGATAATAATATATCAGTATTTTTCGTGAACTCACAATATACGCCTCCTCCTTCAATGGCTCCATTGGTCGAAATGGCGCAGACAGAAGCCACGGTGAATAGCAAAATTCCGTAGGCGATGAGGAACTGCAACAGGGTAATGTACAGGCCCGCATTTCCAACGATATAACCTGAACAAAGATTAAAATAGTGGAAAAGACGAGTTCAATGGACCATCAACAACAAGTGTTTTGTGACGTCACCGCCGTACCTACCCACTCGGATGAAAACCAAAGCACTAAACATGGACAAGGCCACGGGACTGAAGACGCCAGCAAATGTGCCTAGCGTACGGCCATTATTCCGCTCCGGGTCCTGCATTCCGAACTCCACATAGCCATCGCCATCCTGCGGGGTGGGGGGCCGATCTCCGCTGTTCTGGCTACCTCCGAACAGGGATCCGAAACTACGGAAAACGCTCCCCGTTCGAACATTGCGGGAATTGGCAATCGGAGCCGTCTCTTGCTCCGCGGAGGCGCTCATCTCGATGTCCGTGGTGCGAGTGCGAGAAATCCGGAAACACTAAAGACGTCCCAACGAACGCCTACAATTTCCAGCTGTCGCCGAATAATCTCCAATAAGAATAATCACAATCACGGGCGGAGGTTGGAAAGCTGACAACGGGGTTCATTTCACGAGAAAAAGGCTGCCAACTGTTGTTATCACCCCATAAATCTTTTAATGTTTAAATATTAATTAAATAAGTTATTTGCTTCTCCAAAAGTTGTTATTTAGGTTCAGAAAACACTATAAATTGTTATGCGGTGGAGCTTCTAGCCCCTTTAATCCCCACGACGCCTCTGAAATTAAAGTGACTCGAAAAGTGTGGCAGCACTGTCAAATATACCAATAAAGTAGTGGAAAATATACCAATCTGACACAGTATATATCGCTGACTAACGATAGTCAGATATACTCGCCTGAAATTTGAAATTTTAAAGTTTTTATTTTATAACCCTAATTTTTTGAAACCTCTTTGCTAATGTTCTTAAAAATGTTATACACTTAAGAGTATTAATAATAACAGTAGGTACGCGGTTAAAAAAGGTGTTAATTAATTTGGCTACCAATAGTACTGAAGCTACGGGATGCTTGCCAGTAAACTAAAATGGTTTCAAAATATTATTTGTTTAATAAAAGTCGCTTAACTAAAAACCATCTCTAAACTCAAAAGCAGTTAATGCAAGAACATTGGGTTACCTGACGCCGGTGGGTTAAGCGTCTTTTTGCCTACTTTTCCGGATGCTTCATTTCTAATCTAATCTAAAAAGAATCACTTGTGAGTGTAAAACTTATTTTCGGTTCGAGTGATAAATATTGTTATTCATTTGAATAGAAAAAAATAAACTTATAAAGAAATTAAAAATGTAGGTACAAATATACAATGCCGTTTGCCTTTTGTCAATATTGTAATTTTTCATGTAACCGAAGTATAAAAAAGAAATTAATTAAAATTAGAAAAGGAATCACCGATGGATGACCAAGCTTTTAATGATAAGCTTTGTCTCTAAACACAGTATATAGTTAATTGGTCGGCGTTCTAAGGAATTGATAATAAAATATTGCTCTTCAATATAGATAAGTATGGGGTATTTTTCTATAAAAGTGAGAGTCCAATCACCGAATTCTTCAGTAAGATTTCATAATGAAGGTTTTGCAAATCGCTCTTGTGTTTTCCGCCATTTTGGCCATTGCTTTGGCCGCAAATGCCAGTTGGGGTGCCAAATTATCCAGCAGTAAGCTGGCTAGCACCCAAAACGTCACCATTCACAAGAAGGTCAATTAAAATGTGACAACTAAAATTATTTTCCCACTGACGGTAAGTAGCTCTGGATTTTTACCTTAGTCAATGAATATTCTTAACTTATTTCTTCTATATATAAACAGGGCCAGACTAACACCAAAACTATTCGGTACATAAGCATTATTGATAGGTTCACCAACAGCTCGGGACCCTACTCGACCTTGCTAAGTGGTGGTCCAGGTTTCATATCCGCCCAAGTCAATGTCACCAGCCAGCCATCCCAAGGAATCAACATCACTGCCCAATTCTGGGTCGATGCCTAAACACATTTTGCAAATTAAATGTAACTGAACAAAAAATTAGAAAAAAAATCTTGTTTTGAATTCCCCATTCGTTTTTATATACAAAATTATATTTTAAATTGTTTTTAAAATAAAGAAATGTTTTAAAAAATAAAAAGCAGAAACTCTTCGAAATCTTGAGTCTTCTGTTGCTTTGATGTCAATAATGCTGTTTTTATATGGAAAATAAAGAACTCAATGAAAACACTAGTAAAAAAATCAATAAGTAATTTATTTCGTATGCAGATGACTAGCAATGTAGGTTATCAAGATAATATAGAAAAAATGTGTCCTCTTTTTCTTGAGTATTACAGTGGGAAGAATAAATAAATATGTTATTGTCGCCAAAGGGTATTGTATTTGCTATTGCTATAATATATACATTTTTTTTTAAATATGACAGTTACTTTACTTATAATTTTAAATTACCAATAGGGTTCCATCGATAGGTGTCTTGCTATCGATATTTTAAGCGTTAGTGAATTATAATCATCATCAGCTGTTTCTTCTGCAAGCCGAAAACGTTTACAAACCTTTAATTAATTTGGAAAAAAGAAATGGTTAACGATAAAAAGCGTCGATCAAGATCGCGGGAGCGTTACAGGGAGGATCGGCCGGCGGTGGGGAATCCCCGCGATCGCGAGCGGGACAGAGACCGTGCGAGAGAACGGGACCGGCAGTACGAGAGGGAGAAGGACAGACGCCAACGGCGGTCGCGTTCCCGGTGGGTTTTATTTAAATTGATGGTGAAAATCGGTTTATGTTTCCCAAATAATTAGATTCTTTCTCTTCCAGGGAGGATCGCGGCAGGCGAAGGTCACCGGAACGTCAAAGGCCTCGGGATAATGTACGGGAACGATCCAGAGAAAGAGAAGGAGGCGGACGACCAGGTGGTGGTGGTGCTGAAAAGAAGTTAAAGATGGATTCTGGTGATGCTCCACCCAAACCCTTAATAGTCGACGACGATGAGCTCCGGGATGAAAATGATTCCAAGCTGAAAAAGGAGCCTCTCTCGCTGGAGGAACTGCTGGACAAAAAGAAACGCGAGGAGGAGGCCAGGAGCAAGCCCGTTTTTCTCACCAAGGAGCAGAGGGCCCTGGAAGCCATTAAGCGGCGTCAGGAGGAAGTGGAGCGCCAGCGGGCCGCCCACGATGCGGCTCGTGAACAAATGGCTGCCGCCAGCAAGGTCAGCATCTCCATGGGCACGGCCATGGCATCGGGAGCTCCTCCGCCGGCCATCATGGCACCGCCACCCAAGCCAGATCGCCGGGAAAGAGGAGGCGGTCGAGATCGGGGTGACCGAAATGATCGTGGAGAACGAGGCGATGACAAGCGGGCCGAAGATCTCACCCACAAGGACAAGGAGAAGGAACTGGAGGCCATTCGGGAGCGTTACCTAGGCATTATAAAGAAAAAGCGTCGTGTTCGCCGCCTCAATGATCGAAAATTCGTTTTCGATTGGGATGCCGGGGAAGATACCTCCATAGACTACAACAATCTTTACAAAGAACGTCATCATGTCCAGTTCTTTGGCAGAGGAAACGTAGCCGGCATCGATATCAAAGAGCAGAAGCGCACCCAGAGCAAATTCTATGGAGATCTTTTGGAGAAAAGGCGAACCGAAGCGGAGAAGGAGCAAGAGAAGGTGCGACTAAAGAAGATGAAGCGAAAGGAGGACAAACAAAAATGGGATGATCGACACTGGTCCGAAAAAGACAACGACGAGATGACCGAACGCGATTGGCGCATCTTTAGAGAGGACTACAACATCACCATCAAGGGTGGCAGAATTCCCAATCCCATTAGAAGTTGGAATGAGTCCGGATTCCCCAAGGAGATCATTGACATTATTGACAAAGTGGGCTACAAAGAGCCCACGCCCATTCAAAGGCAAGCTATTCCCATTGGCTTGCAGAATAGGGATATTATTGGCGTGGCTGAAACTGGTTCCGGTAAAACATTGGCTTTCCTTATACCCCTGCTTTCTTGGATCCAGTCCTTACCGAAGATCGAACGTCTGGAAGATGTGGATCAGGGTCCCTATGCCATTATCATGGCTCCCACTCGTGAGTTGGCCCAGCAAATCGAAGAGGAAACCATCAAATTTGGACAACCTTTGGGCATACGAACGGTGGTCGTTGTGGGTGGTTTGTCCAGGGAGGAGCAAGGTTTCCGCCTGCGATTGGGTTGCGAAATTGTCATCGCCACCCCTGGTCGTCTCATCGATGTGCTGGAAAATCGGTATTTGGTGCTCAACCAATGTACATACATTGTTCTCGATGAAGCCGATCGTATGATTGACATGGGCTTCGAGCCCGATGTCCAGAAGATCCTGGAATATATGCCGGTCACAAATCTGAAGCCCGATACCGAGGAGGCAGAGGACGAAACAAAGTTGATGGAGAACTTTTATACCAAGAAGAAGTACCGCCAAACGGTGATGTTTACGGCTACGATGCCTCCGGCTGTGGAAAGATTAGCTCGCTCGTATCTCCGACGACCGGCAACGGTTTACATTGGATCCGTAGGAAAGCCAACGGAGAGAACAGAACAAATCGTCTACATGATGGGCGAGAACGACAAGCGCAAGAAGCTCATGGAAATCCTATCGAGGAAGATCGATCCACCGGTTATTATCTTCGTCAATCAAAAGAAGGGCGCCGATGTGCTGGCTAAGGGACTGGAGAAACTGGGCTACAACTCCTGCACGTTGCACGGTGGCAAAGGACAGGAGCAGAGAGAGTACGCTTTGGCTGCTTTGAAATCGGGCGCAAAGGACATCCTGGTGGCCACCGACGTGGCTGGTCGTGGTATCGACATCAAGGATGTGTCCTTGGTTATCAACTACGACATGGCCAAGACCATAGAGGATTACACCCATCGTATTGGTCGTACGGGTCGTGCTGGCAAGACTGGTTGTGCCATCTCGTTCGTCACGAAAGACGACAGTGCTCTGTTCTACGACCTGAAGCAATGTGTAACCGCAAGTCCCGTCTCGACTTGTCCGCCGGAGCTTACAAACCACCCAGAGGCGCAGCACAAACCAGGCACGGTGGTAACCAAAAAGCGCAGGGAGGAGAAAATATTCGCTTAAAATTGGCACATCTTAAGCAAAACTACTTTTAGGCTAAAACAAAAAATTAATAAAGTTGGATATGCCAATAGCTATTCCCTGGCATCCAAAATTTCATTTTTGAGATAGTTGTTTGATACTTTGAATTATAAATTCAGTACCACTTTTGTATTTAAACTGGTATCATCTTTGCAATCTCAAGAAGAAAGCATTTCTGCTCTGCTTGGAGTCCAGAGGCATGTACTTGTCATAGAAGTCAAGAATGATTTCCTCCATCTTAAAGCCGAATTTTTGGTACAACATCACGGCGGAGTTGGTGGCGGACACATGCAACGTTATGTCCTTTGACATGCACGTCTGGATGAGATGGTAAAGCATAAAGCTGGCGATGCCACTGCGTTGCCAGCTCGGACGCACTGCCATGAAGGAGATATAGGCTTCATTATAACCTACATCGGGAACCAGGAATCCACAGCCGATGACTAGTTTTTTGTAGAGGGCCACTACACTGTAGTCCGGATAGCTGAGGCACTCACTCACTGCAATAAAATAGATTCACATAAGTAAAATGGTACGAATTTCTAGGAACAGGGAATCCTACCATCAATATTTGGCCAAAAGGAGCTCTGGAGCAATGCGTTCACCGCTGGAATGTGCTGCGGTCTCACAAAGCAAAAGTCTATGGTGGATCTCGTGGGATGAGATCTATTCACTCGATGCTGCATCTCGCACATGAGTTTTAGCCATGGAGGAGCCATCGTTTCGCTACGGAAGATAAAGGGATGGAGAACTCTTTGAGAGTAGGGCGACTCAAAAAGCTCGTACTGAGTACATCCCGCCAGACGGGCGTGAAAGGAACTTCTTGCATCCTGCCGCGAATGGGCCAAAAGTTGATACCTATCAAGTATTTGAGCCTGCTGATGACCCTGCATCTTTAAGCGTGCTCTGCCCAAAGGATCTATGTGCTCATCCAGGTTAAATATGGGGCGATTGTGGTCCCTTTTCCATTTCCGAAGAGACAGTTTGCGATATAAACGCCGCACATAGGCTGGTATGGATATTTGGCATTCCTGTTCCATAGAAACAATTCTATGAAGTCGTTGATACAACTTCTGCTCCTCGTACACACTGATCAATTGAAGATTTTCGCTGGGAATGGCATGGTCATCAGATTCCTGAGCCTCCTGCAACCAAGGCCAATTTCTTCGGGGCTGTCTTACAAATCCACTTGGTTTGCAAGGCTCTATGAAAGGGGATGTTTCTGGTATCGCCTCATCTTCGTCTAGCATATCCTCATCCAGTGGCTCTTCTTTAACAGTTTCACCTGCCTCTTGCGCTTGGTAATTGGTAACCTGCACTATCCGCGGCTGAAAGTCTTCTTCTTCCATCTGATCATTCTCTCCCTCGCCTTCTTTTTGCTCTTCACTGCTTTCGATGGTAGTCTCCTCGGTTGAATTGGTTTTGGTATCGTCTATTAACTCTTCCTTGATGTTTTTGGTTCCCTTGACTTCTTTAGTGGTGCTTGGTATGCCAATATTTGTATCCATATCGTATAGACCTTCACTGTTCGAAGGCGCCTGCAGCAACGGTTCGTTCATAAAGAAATCGCTTTTACCCACTCCAATCAGTGGAGGTGGCATTATGCCTGGTAGGCTACCAAACATGCTAAAGTCATCGCCTCCCAGACTCTCAGCCAGGAAATCCATCAGACTGGCTTGAACCATGTTTAAAGGCTGATGCTGTGGTTCCTCCTCCGTTTCCTGAATTGGGGGAATTGTATTTTCTTGAGGAACTGGTGGCGTTGGAATAGCCTTCTGTGGCAGCGGTAGTGGCATTACCTTCGGCTGGCAACCCATGTATGGACTAAAAAAGGGAGATTTTGCCATAAGTATACAGAAGTGGCTTTAAACAAGTTAAAAACCATACATGGTGCGGGCACAGCCCTCTGCTGCATTGGTTTCATCAGCTTCCACCTTTATAGGCTGGATTTTATCCTTGGTATGATCGGTAACTGAGATCTCGCTGCTGCAGCTGGTCTCATCCGTGGCGGGCAAACGTTTTTCATTGCGCAGTTGCAGTCGCAGCAGTTGCTTTTTCTCATCTGGTGTAAGAGGGTTTATAAACTTTGTTTTTGTTAGCTTAAATAGTACTTACATTCTCGGAGGACACTTCTTGGAGTCAGGAAGGGTTTGGCCAGTTTCCACCAGCCGTGCTCTTGAAAGACATCCAAACCCGATTGAAAGTACTCCGGACTGTTGTGGGATAGAGCTCCGGAAACGGAACCAGTCCATTGCTTACGGCGACGACTGGAATAGGTGTATATTTTAGTGATATTTTAAGAGATACTACCAATACGACCACTCACACATTGGATCCGAATATGTAGTTCCAGTTCTTGTCTACAAAGCTGATGATGTGGGTGCGCCAGTGAAAGAATCCGTGGTGGCCCAAACCTTTTTGTTTGATGGACAGGTTGTATAGCGTTAGAGTGAGCACCAGTAACCAGGGAATCCTTTGGCGGACTATAACCTCCTTGATGGGTTCCAGCGAGGAGGGCACGGTTGAATCCTGCACTTTGTCCAACACGCACTTGACGCACGTGAACTCGAAGAAAATGTCGCCCAAAAGATCTCCAGGCGTGCTCGCATGTGGCAGGCACTTGATGTGCACCATTCGGCGGCACTCCTGGCACTCCAGGTAGTTGTCATCCTCCACAGCCATTTCACAGTACCTGCAGGGTCCTTGGGGTTCATCCCAACTGGCGGGCCGATTCATTTAAAGCGCTATTTTACAAAAAGGAAGCTTTGTTTGTAGACTTCGTAGTTTGTTCAATCAAATCAAATAATAAACAATATACACACACACATCGAGGCATCGTTATATACCTCTAAAAATACTAAAAATTAACGATAGTAACATACGGTACGGTATTTCGGTCACGCTAAAAAGACGGTCAGTTTGGCGCGCAAATTATAACAGATTTAAACTTAAGTTATGGAGGTGGGGTATCAACAAAATGTACAACAACCTAATAATAATATAATGTTTAAGCTTGTTTGTTTGTTTAGGTAAGCAAGACTGTTATGTAAGCCGCATTAAAAATACCAAGCAGTAAGAAAATACCAAAACATTCGTAGATCAAGCGCCATCTGGTGGCGAGTAGAGTATACATAGGGCATCTTAACGGATATTTGAATTCAAGTGCAATCTTTTATTATGTTTTCGTTATTTTAATAAGATACTATTTGAACTTCGAATAAAAATAATTGTAATTGCTTATAAAAACAATTATTCACTAATGAATTTACGATAAATGGCATACTCAACTTTTCATTCAGGAGGTGTTGTTGCTTGATTATTGTTGCAAAATTAATACACATAAGTTATGAGGCTCAAATGAGTGATAAAAATGGGAAATCGTTTTGAGACCATTATGAAAAATCCGATACGTTTTACCAGGAAACACTACTTTTGTACTTTGTTAATAAATCATATTTAAAAATACTTTATTGATAATATATAAGAAATTAATTTTACAAGAGGCCATAGAAACTATTTATTTAAAATTATAAAAGATGGGTCAACCAGTTCGATAGAGGTTAAATGCAATACCGCATTAATAACTACAACCTTCCGAAGTTCACTTCACATACAGAATCTCCCTGATTTGTGCAATCCCGAATTGTCGGTTGATCAAACATGCGTCTTTCACGCCCTCCGCCCACCATCCATTGGCGATGCAACGAAAATGACATTAATGGGCTCTTTACGGCTTACGCATAATTAAGGCCGTTTCCGCCAGACTCGGGCTTTGGACTTGGGCCCACTCTGGGCTTTTGGCCTGGCCAACGTGTTGTCTTAAGCGGGCCTAATTAGGCATCGCCGGCTGTTCTGTTCAGCTGGAGCTGTTGCTTCTGCTGCTGTTGTGTGTTTGATGAAGTGCATGATTGGTTTACGGGTCCAAATGGGGATGGACGGACCTGCCACGGCCGTGTTTTCCCTGCCCCCATAGATAGGGATACTCAGGATACTCAGTCGCCAGTTATGGCTTTGCAGATTCATAAACAATTTTTTTTTAAAAGAATATTACAAAAATGTTTTATGCTTGCAACTTTTTTTTTAGAAATGATTTAAATTTCTTTTTAAGTTTTTGTATTAAATGTTAATTGCGATTTTCATATTGTCCCGTCTTGATTTTCTGTTAAAATGAATACAGTTGAATTGAAACCATTCAACTTGGTTGTCTGCCACCCTCGCGGAGATTTTCATTTCATTCGCGACTGCCCGCTGGCAAATAAAAAAAAACAAGGAAAATATGGTGAAATAAATGTAATTTGTATGGCTGGCAAAAAGTACTCCACTAAATGATGACTTAAGAAATTTAAATCTTTTTGTTATACCAAAGAGTGAATTGTTAACCCTTGTTATGTTGCTTGTATCTCCACGGTAAAATATTTACTGGGACTCAAAGGCTATTAGCTGTATAGCCCCTTTGAGTATGCTTGACAAATTCGATAGCTTCACTTACCGGTTATGACACTTACAGATGTGATGCTGGTAAGTATTTGATTGGCTACCCATTCATGTTCATAACAAGCATTTTTTCTTTCAATCCGTAGACTTATTTCACCTTTTGTACTCCCCTCTTGGGCCACCCCATAACATCAAACACGACAAGGTTATGGGTTGACCGCTTTCCGACCGATTTAAGGCCAGGTCCTGGAACAAAGAGGAAAGGTAAGCGAAAAATATAAAGGCATCCCCATCGAGAGGGGCAAACAAACGCCGTCTGGCTGTCACTTAATCGAAGCCATTAGCGTTATTAGTGGGGCCGGTACCAGCCGATGCACTGAGGAATAAACTTTGATGTATGGTCATTATTTTGAATAGTATATTTTAAATTTTATAATGAATATTATCCGCCAAATAGTTACTTCTTTAAAACGAATGCATTTTTTGTTTGAATACTTTATATTTTTATTTTCTTGAATCTTTTAATAGATGCATACTTGTATATGAATTCCATATAATCTAAGTCTTTTTTCAAAATATTATTCCCACGCCTGGCTGGCGGCCAAGTAGAGAGCAAAGAGTGTCTGGACATTGTGGATGTAATCCGCCTGGGACTCTAAGGGTCCTTCCACCCCAAACCTCTCGCAAAGCACTCTCACATAGTCAGCTAGGGATATATTCTGCTGCAGACAGGACCTGTAGGCCTGATCTAAGGCGTTCTTAGTCTCGTCATCGCCAAAAGATCTCGGCCAATCCTCCAAGAGAGCGTCTATATCCTTTCTGGGCTGAGCATCGTACATAGCTTGAGTCATATGAACTTGTTCAACTTCAGAGATCCACTTATCTATATCCTTGCCCGAACGCGCGGTGGGAATTAGAGAAGCCGAGGTGGCATGACGGGGATTACGACCCATGCTTCCGCTTAGTACCGATCGTAATTTCATATTCAGGAGACTGGGTTCACTTTGAGTTCCAGACGGTTCGTCGAGCAGCCATAGGCCCAATTTCTCTAAGTGATCATTCAACTCCTTTTGACGTTGTGGTTGTAAAAGTGGAGGAGCCTGAACTTTTAGAAGGGCATCCACATCGCCCACAGCGGGCACGAACTCCGGGATAAAAGGTTGCAGATGAAATGGGGTATCGATCGTTTGTGGGGTGTATTTAACGATGTAGGGAAACAGTTCCTTAAGTTCCCCGGGCAAGGATAGTTCTTCCCATTTATCCGGACTCATGTTGAAGGACTGTTCTTCCTGTCGCTCGGATCTTCCGGCTCCACCGGCACTGCTTCTCATGGGCAGGGTTAGCTTATGGTGCGGCAATTTGGCACCACCTCTTGCTCCTCCGGATCCCATTTCTCCACTCATGGCAGCTTCCTCGCTGCCGGAACTCATGGTGTCATCCGGCACTTGCTTGGAACTCCGGTTGCTTCGCGGACGCTTTTGGGAATGAGGTCCGGGCACCAAACCTGCCATCCCCACACCCATGGTCATTCCCTGGGGCAACTGCATCTCGCTGTCATCGTCATCATCGCTGTCCTCCGCCTCGTCATCGTGGTCAATTATGTCCTGAAGAAGGCCATCGTCATCTGTAGAGTTGCTTTGGAATTGCTGGATGGGAAGAAAGACAAAAGGGTTAACTAATAAGGTTGTAAGAAAATGGGAATTTTTTTCGGATTGGATTCAAAATAACCCAATTTATGCTTATTTTGAATTTTGAGAGCACTTTACTTAAAGAAACTCTTAATAATAACTAATAGAACTAGTTTGGGATACTGTATTTCTTAAATAAAATAAAAGAAAATACACGGGAGTTATCCAGATGGGAAACTTCAGATTAGTAAGACTTCATCCATTTAATTTCACCTTTTTTCGGAGCCGGTGAATTTGTTTCTATACGTATTTATGTATCTTTTTTCATTTACGGACTTCACCGAAAAAATTCATTAACACTCACCATTCGACGATGCCTGCCCGCGGCTGCTCTTTGTGCACCTCCAGTGGCTCCTGCTGCCCCCCTTTCTCCGCCCAGTGCTCCTCCGCCCGCGGCTTCCCCTCTGCCACCTCCTGGTCCACCATTTCGCGGCTCCATTTGAACACTGCTCAGATGCTTTGAGTCGGGTCCGCTGATTGTGATCTCCTCATCGTAGAAGTTCATGGCCATGGCCAGCTGCGAGGACTCGGATTCAGATTCAAATAGCTCTCCAGCTGCGAGTCCTCTCGAGCTATTCAATTTCCTTTCCCCGTTTCTGTGCCCACTTCCTGGTTTTCCGCGAAAATCCGCACAACACTTGTCTTGCAATTTTCCGCTCCTTTTGCAGGTGCTGGGTCCACGTCCTTGTGTCCTTCCTTCAGCGCGGAGTTTTCTTTTTGACAAAATATTCGGGGTTTTCAGCGTTTTCCGTTTTGTTTTGGCTGCTTTTGCTGGCTTACCTGCTGGAAAGTTGTCAATTGCTTTGGCCAATGCCAGTGTCGATGTCGATGTGGTCGTCTTGACAACGCAACCCAGAAAACACTGGAAAAAATTATATGTCCCTGTATTTAGAAAAGTATATATAATCGTTAGTATTCTTTTAAAATAACATCTAAAAATCAGTTTTTGATAAATTTAATTTAAAGAATACCATAAAAATACCTAAAATACCTTAAACCTTCTTATTATATTAAAAGGTTTCTAACAGAATTTAAAAAATTATTTTTATTACACAATTTTTTTCTCAATGTATCGAGTGGTTGTTATTGTGATATCCTTTTTGGCCTGCGAAAACATTTACAGCTGAAACAGTTGCCCTTTGTTATGGGCCAGGGTTTTAATTACATTCAATTTTTGAACCGATTTACCATCACTCGCCGTTCGGCCGGATTCCATTTAAATAATTTGTTGCTACTGTTTAAAGGGCGGTTTATGGCGGCGATTCATTAATGAACATGCGAAGTTTTGTACACTTCTTAAAGGGCTCGTGAAAGGCTTAACCAAATGGGTTTACATTAACATAAGGCGCCAGCTTCAGTTTTCCTTGAAAATCGCAACATTCTATGTGGTTTTTTTTTTTTAGATACGGCTTGGATATTCAAGAATGTTTCCCACATATTGATAATCACTTATTTGTCAAAATGCCATACTACTTTGTTTTCGACAGGAACAGGCTGATACCGAGTTTTAACCATTCTGTCCAATTTTTGGAAGATAAAAGTATAAAAACCCCCACAGAGATAGCTCTTACTTAAGAATGTTTCATGAATGCAGGGTATCTTAATAAAATTGTATGAACCTTAATGTGCCTTGAATACAATATTATAATTACTAAATATATTTTATTAAACAATTTAAGTATCATACAAATCATAGCCTTACCCACACAAGTTCAATTTGAAGAATTTTTTAAAATGCAAATTAATATAATAAAATTTTTACTGATGACTTTCTTTAATTATTATATTCATCATAATATTCTTAGTTTACATAATACAATTTCATCCCTTTACTTTTAAATCTCTCTTTTAACTACGTCCATGTCATCCATTCACACTTTTTTACACGCTCCCACACTCATTTCCCTCTCTCTCGCTCACGAGCAACCACAATTCGAACAAGAGAGAGCCACATAGGGGAGAATGCTTCGACTTTCTGATATCCTCTACTCAATAGAAAATAAAGTCGATTGCCATATAATGTTAGGTTTGTGTATAATTTAATATTAAATATCTATAGATACTTTGATGTGCTTTTTGTAAGCCTATGTTTTGTGTTATTACTAATCTGACAAATTTTTTAAAAACAATTTTATTTTTAAAATTCAGCTTAAATGTTAAACGTAAAACATGTATGGCCAACAATTTTTTTTCTAAAATGTTTTGTTGTTGAACGACATTTTAAAAATTCGAATTTTCTTTGTGTATGCGCCTAATTTCAAAGTAAAAAGAGAAATTCATTTTTGTGGAATTCAAGTATCTGATCTTATTTTCAATGATTTGCACTGCGACTGTTCCCAAAAATTTCCCTTGTTATCCTATTAACTTCTGGATATCTCCTTCTCACTGTTGCAGGAGTTAGCCAAAAAAATATACCCTATTACCTTACGATTAATGGGTAAACCGAGAGAGCAGTAACATACGCCCTGTTGGCCAGCATTCTGTTAACATGCTGTTAACGGGGACTAACAGCGGCGGGAGTTCACTTGTTTTCGTCGCCATCCATCGGCATTCAGTTTTTGAATCTTTTGGTGTGCGGACGCTACGTTGTATCTCAGATTGCTCGTGGTTCGAGATTCAAGTGTTCAGATTCGAATTTCGTCTTTCGGGTGCGCGTACATTGGTGCCGTTTTATCACGCTATCTCAATAACAGCGATAACAGCAGCAACATTGGCCACTAATTAAATGCTGAAGTGTCTGTGTGTGTCAATTGAATCTGTACGACTTTTGATTGAATTAAATTACAAAATACAATAGCAATTTGCAATTAACGGTAATTAAGCCTGACCAGTGCGGCAATTTGAACCATTTGATCGGGTGCCAAAAAGATATTTTTTACACACACTCCATTTTTGGGGATAATTAAAAGGACAGTGGTGCTTGTCATTCCTTCCGGTGGAGTGAGTGTGTGTGCAGTGGTTGTGGAGGAATTTCTCATTAAACCGGCGCTAAAAGGATTACGAACCCGTTCATCTTCATCAGACCCGCAGCGGACCAAATAACGGTAAGTTGCCGGGGAATCCCCCACATACATTTTCATTATCACACGGAAAGAAATTCAAAGGAAAATATAAAACTGAGGATAAAATGACACAAGAGAAATATAAAAAAATTTAAGAGTGGATTCATAATATCAATAATACTATCTTAACAAAATTTTAATTTTTTTGTAATTACTAAACTGTTTACTGTTCATATTATATGAAACAATCTTTCAACTATATCTCACTGTGCATATCCTTTTTATGTTCTGGCTTTTCACGCGACCCTCGCAAGAGTTAAAAAGGGTTGACCATGTGCCGGGGGTCAATATGCTTTTGTTGAGGTTAAACTGTTCTTGGAGGATACAAATCCCACCTCGCTTTTACCACCCACATGCGAGCCAAACAATGAAAACCCCCGAAAAAGTTGCCGGCAATAAAATGAAATTGTTTTGAATTATTGAGATCTGAAAGCGAGCGGCCTGTAACCGGATGGTCCCTTTCTAGTGTTGCCTTTTTTATTTTGTTTAAATATAATTTATATTTGGCGCATTTATGGCCAGGACCTCGGGACCCGGAAAAGGACTGAGCACTCTTATAGGTGTCTGGGGGCATTAACGGTTAACATGTTTGCGGTTTTTGATTGCTGCAAAGTCCTTTTATCAGGCCATAAAACGAGGGTCTCCCAACGCCTGCCACACATTTTTGGGGCCATATGTTTTTGGGCGTGAGGAAGTTCTAGGGGGGGTGTATGTTGTGGTTTCTGCAAATTGGGAAAAGGTTTTATAGAGTTCATCGGAGTAACGACCAGTTTATCAATTCTGTATGCAGCTTTAGTCAATGCCCGATAAGAGTTGTATGCAAACTCGAAATCGGGTCGATGCACTGACAACTGCAACGAAGGAAACCTCTGGATAAAGATATATAAGGGTGTGATTAAAAGTTATTTATCATATAAATAAAATAATTATTAATTTTATATGTTTCCCAAAACAAAAATTAAGTAGAAAACTCCCCCCTGATGACAAAGCTAGTTCGCCTTAGTTAATTCCTCCAAATATCTTAATTAATAACTCAACATCAAGCTTTCCACTTGGCAGCATAAATATACTTCACATACAAACTTGGGTTTAATTAACCGAAAAACCCTGCTTCCATTAATATCGACTTGAAGGGCATCATTTTCGCTTTCGCTTCCCACCAAAACTCAATTGCAACCTTTAGCCAATATTGAGATTCATTTGCAGCGGGGAGAATCCAATTTCTTGGCCAAGTCGGGAGCGTCTGAGGTTATTAGCTGGGCAACCGCATCCAGCATTCGACAGCCCTGCGTGGCTAATTAATTTCCATTCAGTAAATGGAAATGCGTAAACCATAGAATGCCGCAAATTAATTTCCCGAGAAAACGAGCGAAAGAGAATCAGACGGACAGATAGACGTTGAGCAGAATGTAGCTGTTATATCAACAAGGAGAAGGTATTACAAGACAGTGCGTTTCATTGATATAATAATAAAAAAAGGATCTCAAGAAATTTTAAAATAAATATTATTAGGATGGAAAGGCCAAAAATATTTAATTTATGCGTTTTTGAAACATAATTCAAAGTTCCAATGCAATAAAAACCGTTTATTCCTTTTAAATATCTCTTAGATCTTATGCACTTTTATTTTAGCGATTAATATGATTACCAAAAGTATTAATAAAACGTTAATGTATTAATCTATGTTATACCTTAGACAAAAATGCTTCTGCCTTAATTTATTTGATATGCACTGTACAGACCGACCATTTATTTGCGGGCAATATAAATTCCTCGAGTTTCCTTAGCCATTTTTATTTGTATTTGCGGTCTGGTCGACTGCTGCTGTTTATTGTAATTTTTTATGGTCCAGCTATGGTTTTTCTTGGCCTCATAACTAGCGACTGGCGACTTCGACCTATATAAGTGATTCTATTGTGCCCATCGTGCTTTGGACATTTCCCAGCCAAGGCCTAAAAGCAGACACTAGTAAACATTTCCACTTTCGCTTTTCATTGTGTGTGGCAAAAAGAAAATAAAGGAAAGGCAACAAAAATGTTTGCTTATCTCTTTGCCTACACATTTTTATGTGTGTTGTGCCTTTGTTTCTGGGCTCTGTTTGTTGATGGGTGTCGGGGCTTAAGGATTCGCTCTTTTCGGATTTTTTGGATAGTCATCAGCATGCAGAGCCACATGGCTCCTCCAGCAGCCCACCTAAAACCTCCAACCTCCCATTCCCCATCCTCCCCATAATCTTCTTCAAGTTCAGCGAAAGCGAAAACATGAAGGAGGGTCACCATAAAAAATGAAAATCGTCCTACGGTTGAAAGTTTGTCGTTTACCCGCAGAGGCAGAGAATTATGCCAGATTGGTTTTTATTTAAATTAGTTTTAGATTCCCTCGGCTGTGGCGAAGTCTCCAATGTTCGCTGAAGTGTTAAAACAGAGGATACAGAAATTGATTTTCTGTACGAGATTAAGAACTTTGGTGGCGGCTTCCATTGCCATTATGGCCAACTCAGCTGTCCCCAGACCCCAAAACGGGTTCCGCAGAACTTTAGCCCCAGACTCGAATAAATAAACAATATGGTTGGCTTTGGGCGGCAGAGGAGTCCGATTTCAGTGTCGCCTATCAATGACAAATTGCACATGATTTTTACTGCCAACCAAGCAAATGTTTTCATATGCCGACTGCTGTCGCAAACTCTTTGGGTGTTCTATTATACGCTTTTTTTATTGTCTCTCCAAGTGTCAGAGCACCCCTTTTCAAGGGAGTCAAGTAATAATGACAG